CTATATGTGCTCTAATATATATTTTTGAGCATGGAGTTTTTTTTATATTGTTATTTTGATTTATCTTTGTACACCTTGCCTTTATGTATCTTTGGACTCTGCTCGGTTATACAGGAAGCCCCAAATGAAATGTTAATGACAATAGAAGGCACGGATGGATTAAGCGACACTTCTAAATCCACCCGTGTGCTTTTATGAGTTTTTCACTGCGAAAATAAACTATTTATACTATACACACACACACACACATATATACACACAGATATATATACACACATAAGTATGTATACATAGGACAAATACATATATACATATTACCTATGTACTGTGACCCGTCAACCCACTGTGTGTGTGTGTGTGCTGTGTGCTTGTTGTGTTTTTCTTTTTTTGTTGTATAGTTTCTCAAGCGGATATGTAAAAATATAATGTTGGTGACTAGTTTGATGGATATCAAACACAGAAAACAAAGAATGGAAGGAATAAATATAAATTATTTTTAGGGTATTTCATTTTTCCCAGAGCACTATCCATTTTGCAGAGGAGACCTGACAAAGATTGAGAAGCCAATTCTTGTGAAGTGAAAGTCTGTCATGATATCATTTGTCGAAGTCTGCGCTTTGAGCTGGTACAAAAATCATTCCATGAGATTATGCTGTGGATGTGATAAGCAGAACTTTAGAAAACCCAAGCTAGATGAGGATTGAGCCAATTCTTATTTCAAACTTCTAATTTTTAAGTTAAGATTCAGAGAGGGGAAGACACTTGCCCAAGATCACACAGCACATAAATTGTCCTTCTAGATTAGAACCTTGGCCTTCTCCCTCCCAGCCAGCATTTTTATGATGATTCTTAGGTCACAAGAGAGCATCAAAGATATGGTTTTCATGACCAACAACCTGGTTTTCCTGGTGATGGATTAAGCATCAAGGACCTTGTTGACATGATGGTAGGTTCAACAAGCACTTACTTTGTTCCCTGAATCCAGCTATACAATAACATAGCCACGCTCGAAAATGACAAGAGGCACTAGACTGGACCCAAAACTGAGCTGAAAGATAGGAAGTAGATGGGAAGCTTAGAAGGAACCCACAGCCCAGGACGTAGCTGGGAATTCTGCCTCAGAAATACTGGTGCTTCCTACTGAGAGTGGGTGGAATTTGGGGAGCAGGAAGTGGCCTAGTGGTGATTAACAGGGTCATTATTAAGGTGTCACAACCTAAGACAGCAGGCAGGATGGTTGACACCTCCACAATTCTCCTCTATTTTCATGAACACACAATCACTAAAATTTTGATAAAAATCCAAACCATGAAAAATATAGCAAAATCAACAACTGAAAAAAACTTAACACCCAAGAAAATAGAGTTGATAGAGCAAACAGGACAGAACATTTACATAAATATATTTAATATCTCCAGAGAGAGGCGAAAGAGTATCATGGCCATGAAGCACGTCCCGATTGTCATACAAATCAACTAGAAGTCTCATGAATAAAAAACATAAATATAGAAATCCATAGATGTGTTGAAGAGCAGAATGTGCACAGTGATGTGCAAATTATAAATTTTGACTATTAAGTAAAGAATTCTCCCAGGACCCAGTACAACGGGATTGAGAGATAAAAAGTATGAGAAAAGAGCTGGGTGTGAAAACTAGATTTTTGAGTTCCAACACCAGTGCCAGAATGAGAGATTAAAGAAAAGAGA